AAACATTCAGATCAAGACCGTAACTTCGAATCGGCTGTGTTCCAAGAATGCTGCAAGTTGTTTGGCATTCAAAAGACCAGGACAACGCCACTTCACCCACAGTCCGATGGGATGGAAGAAAAGTACAACTGGACACTGGGACAGGAATTGGCAAAGTTTTGTAATATCCACCAAGATGACTGGGATGTCTTGCTCTCTCCACTGTTGATGGCCTATAGGATAGCAGAGCATGAAGCCACTGGATACACTTCAGCAAAGTTGATGTTTGGTCGTGAACTTCGGTTGCCAGTGGATCTGTTCACAGAATGCCCCCCTTATGAAGAGTTGCCTGAAAATGTGTCAGAGTTTGTGAAAGTGTTATCGGAAAGGATGGATGATATTCACCATCAAATGTATTCAAACTTGAAAATGTCTGCTAATTCGATGAAGTTATATTATGATAAGAGATCTACTGAAGTAGCTTTATACCAGGAGACACGGTGTGGTTGTATAATCCCAGGAAGACCAAAGGGAAGCCAAAGGTGGTGCATGCCAACAGGCTTTGGCATTATCATGGTCCAGAATATTTCAGTTGGGATGAAGTGAACAACGGAACAAACGGCGCTGCTGAAGACGTGTCACCTGAAAAAGCCAACGTCGAAGAAGAAACTCTACTCGGTTTTGAGAAGGGAAACAGTGAAGCCCTTGATAAAGTTACTTCCACTGATGTGACTGTTACCAATGATAGGACGTTTCCTGATGAAGCAGACGAACCCCACATGAAGCAGAAGCCAACGAGATGGAGACCAGTATCGAAGAAGATACATCCCGTGAAATTAAGAGACTTTGTTGAATTGTAATTTTGTGTTTGTAAATTCTGTACACTTAATTAAGTTATTGTTTATTGTTTAATGTAAGTGGCTATTGTTCGGAACGAACAATACTAAGGAAGGGGCAGTGTTACGACAGCGGAGGTCACGTGACGCTAGTAACACGTCATGCACTTCTCGAACGTTCACGTCACTTTCTGAA